CTTTTGGCATGTGACGTTCTTGAATAAACCGCGATCGATCCTTAAAAACATAATCATCAATATTGTGATCATGGCAACGATTACAAAAATGTTTGCATTGAATAAAATCAACAAATTTCACAACAACGACAAAAGGCAATAAAAGCACTTTATTTATAACGTTCATGACTTTTCTTACCAAAGTGATCCGTTCATTCATTCTTAACGCGTATTTTTTGACGCATGCATGCGTGAATGAATGAATCAACTTTGTCCCAATAGGAAGAAGGAACATACTTCAATGAAAATCTGTAGGTGAGACGTAAAACAACAAAAGGTTTGTTCAATTTATTGATCTTAGGATATTTTTATGGCATAAAAGGGAAGTGCAGTTCATAGCAGATATGACACATTTTCGTTTTGGTTGGTGGATTCATGTCGAGAACGAGCATTTCTAAACTTTTTGTCAGTGGTTTTAGATAAATGGTCGAAAATCAAGCCTCTGTTTTTGTCTGAAACAACTACCTTTTTTGTCGAAAAAAATATTGGTCTCTGAAGATTTGAATACTGGGTATTACCTACAAATTTGGTCAAAAATCGATCTCACATCATAAAACTATCGATCGATCCAGAGATTGATACAATATCACATTTATTGATATAGAAAACACATTTACCATGGTCTGCTATTCGTATGGTATAGAATATACACCACAATGGAATACACTCATACAAACATTTACTCCGATATGGAGTGTATTGTGTATTACTCCTATTTGAAGTAAAAAACTCAAAATTTGTACGGAGAATGGTTTGAGTGTAGCGAAAGCCATTTCTACTGATGTTAACACACCAATTGGTGTCGAAATGTTTGTACTGGCCATTTTCACTCTGATTTCTGTGCCATTTACATATGAGTCAATTATTTTTTTATTGAAAAATGGCAAGGATCTATGCGCTCTGGAAATTATGTTGAAATTAAGAAATGAACCGCAGAATTTTACACGACGAGATTTTAACGAATTTAAAACGATGTTGATGGAAGATAACACAGATGGCAGCAAAATTTTCAGCAATAGTAATTCACGTCCATTGTTAGTGGTATTGTGTTTGCGCCTTTTAAATGTCCTTCTAACTAACAGCTGCATTTACTGGATATTTTTGGCGAACATTTGGTTCGACTTTCAACACTGGCTCGAACACAAACAATTATTAACCAAAACTAAATCTAGCGAAAAATTTGTACATAGTGCATATTCGTATAGTCCACCTGAACTGCAAATGATTCAATTTTTTGCAATTGTATCGCTGGTAAAAATTGTAGTTGGTGTTTCGCTCTTGTGGTTAGCGGAAAAATTTCAAGTCTATCGCAATCGAGTCATTTTTAAGCTTACACTTTGCATTGGCTGCATGAATCTGATTTTCTTTATGGCAACGATAGCATCGAAGTGGTTCGATTCAAATGATCTAATATTCACATTCAACATTGCTAAATTGCTCAGTGTAATCTATTGTTTTTATTTACTTATTGCATTTTCCATCGACACCATTGGATATTCTGAATTGAGTGAATCATTTTCATTGACAAATCGGTATGGATGCATCGCAATTCAGGGGCTAAGAATCGCATACTCAGTTCGCAGTGCAACTCATTTTAATGAGAGCCACAGCGCTCTGTGCGCCTCACTCACTCACCAGTCTTCCGCTTCTTCTTCTTTTTCTTCTTTTCGCTATAGCAGATACGAACAAAACGAAGAAGAAGAAGAAGCACAACATAGTGTGCGGTGTGCGTATAAAAACTCATTTTCGTGAGTCGAGCAGCGCACACGAATTTATTGTCTTTCATTCAAGTGAGTGTGTGCGCTACTCGCAGCGTCCATTCAGTGCGATTCTTAAGCTCTGTCGCAATTATTCTTATTGGTGAATATTTATCCCATGCTATTGCTATATTATTAGTAGTAAATGCATTGTATCCATTTTATTTTCATGCGATTCAATCGGTGTTCATTTGTTTAATTTGTTTTTCACTTTTGAAATGGATGCCCAATGGGTGTTTGAATTGTACGTTGCGTGAAGCACGGGATAAACACTTTGTGAAAATGGACAAATTATAAGGCGGTTGCTCAGTAAATTCTGATTTCTTTTATTGGCCATACTGTTTGCTTTTCCGTGTCACGATAACTTGGTTACCTGTGTTCGTTCACATCCTTTATCGCTTCCTCTCTTTTTCCTTTATCGAAAAGTGCTCAAAACAGATGTGAGTCTCACGATTGTTACTCTCATTTGATGTGATCATTTCAAAATGGCCGGTTCATTCGCTCTTGAAAGAACATATTTTTGGCATTCTTGTTGAATTTAATTTTTGGAATGAAAATTTCGTTGTTAAATTGTGAATTAATCAACTGTGTGTAGATGAACATTTCAAATGTTGATACCATGGATAAAATTTGTGGGCAATTTAAACTCATTTGAATTGAATTCATGGATGTGCTGTTGTTAAAATTATGTTGAAAATACAGAGTGTCTTGTGATCAAACGTACAATGATAGAAATAAGGAGTAAATTTAAATCAGACACCAATTTTGGATGATTCGGAACGAATAAAGAGATACAAATTCATCGGACTTTTTTTTTCATGACATTTACGAAAGAGACCTTGAAAACGAAATGTCACTTCAGTACAATAATCTCGTAAGCAATTTTTTGAGTGTTTTCACAACTTTCCCAAGCGCGACCCCACACTTAGCTTCTAAATGTGACACCGTAGTAAGTGTGGGCATACGTTTTGCGAATAAGCGACAAAGAGAGTGGGAACAAGTGCGCGTGTATTAGTCGCTACATTGAGAAGCATCGCATCAGGCTACTCACTACCACACGCGCACTTGTTTCCATTCTCTTTGTCGCTTGTTTGCAAAACGTATGCCCACACTTACTACGGTGTCACATTTAGAAGCTAAGTGTGGAGTTGCGCTTGGGTTATTACTCAACTATTTAGCCGAGTTCAATATCAGTTATAAATTCCCTCATATTCCACTCATTTGACGTCACATAAGTCACATAACAATATCACTCATAGCTCTAATATGAAGTGAGGGCAAAGACACAGTTCAGAGTGATAATGAAATGAGCGTGCGATGTGTTAATGCAATATTTAACTGTGATAAGAACATTGATCCTTTTTTTCTGCCTTCAAATTGATAGAGTCATTTCAGAATATATAAAATTAACTTTGTTCAAATATGATCACCGTATGTTTCGGGCTAATTTGAATTAATGACAATATGAACTACGACACTATAATCAATTTAATGCCGATTTCAGGATATTGCTAACTGTCATTTATTTAGATTATATTGAAAAAAAGTGTTTTTGTGATACGAAATTTGAATTTGAAATAAAAATGCTTAGTCCAGCTTTGTGTACCCAAAGATATATGACTTTGTTCCAAAAATTCAAAAAAAAATCATTCCAAGACCAATGTGAATATTATTTTGGCTGTCAGTTGATGATCATGGTTCAATTTTACATTGGGCTATTGAACATAAAAAATTGATAATTGGACCAAGTGAGAAATGTCAATAATTTCTCAAAGGACTTTCAAATTAATTTCAAATCGGAAGGAGAAACAGCTGTACATTTGGCTGTTGCGAATGGAAATTTTCAAAAATGAATGAAAAAAAAAACAATATTCAAAACGGTTCAGTCTGTGTAGAAAGAGTGTTTTTCAGTCTATTTCATTCATCGTTTCTTTCTCCAGTTCAAACGGAGGTCGTTGAACTTCTCATTGAGCACGAAGGCGATGTACGTGAAAAAGATAACGATGGATGGACATCTCTTCGCTGTCCTGCTGAGTGGGGTAATTTTGAATGAATTTCTGCTTTAAAACAAGACGATTTGATTTTTTCCGTTTATACGAACCGTTTTAAACAATTTATCTATTATTTTCCAATAGACGGTCATTGAACTTCCCATGGAGGGAAGGGTCGATATTCATTCTAAAGACGATGTGGGATACACTCCTCTTAAGGTGATTTTGTATAAGATTTCACTTACATTTGTTCAGAAAATGGTTCGTTCTATTCAACTAATTCAATATGTTCCAGGTTGCAGAGGTGGCGTAATTTTGGATACTTATGATTCGAAGGAATGTGATGCAATTCATGTCATTAATCAATTATCATAGAGATTTGAACGACCTCCTTATGACCTAAATAATAATTATCATTTAGATCATAAGGAGGTCGCTTGATTCTCTTTGATAAAGGTGCACAGATGTGATGTATCCAGTTGAATTTCTACAATTTCCATTCGGTTGGTCTGCAAAATACTAATTATGATATCTCAATGTTGCCGTTAGAATGAATATCTGCTCCTTTCTCGATGGAAATTTGAGGGGGCGATATTCATTCTAAAACCAATGATGAGTGTACCACAAGATGCAGGATTTTTCGGCTTTCAAGCTCACTGCATATGAGCGAAATGGTACTTCACTGTTTGAAAGGATGTTTTGGCCAGTGGTGTCGACGAAATATTTTAACCATTTAATGTGATCTTTCAGGAAATCACCACCGGATTTGCACCATACTTTCTATCGATTCGAACATTTATCTTCAATTTCTTTTTATCTATCAATTTATTTAGTCCAATTTACATGAAAACATACTTCAAGATCAGATCATATTCATCTTTATAATTCTTTTGGCATGTGACGTTCTTGAATAAACCGCGATCGATCCTTAAAA